CTGGGGTGTTATCAGTGAATGGTGAATTGGACAGAGAAAACTATCCTGAATATAGCTTGACAGTTATGGTTAGTAATTTTTTAACAGTGGACAGATCAGTGTGACCATTTCTTGTACATGCACATGCTGACTGAAGGAATACTTTCATGAATACTGTATGTGACTATTACCGTAATTGTCATGACTTAGCGCCCTCTTCCCACTTTTGGAGACTTCTGTATTCGGGATACGTTCAATTAAGCGTTCACAACTTCAAAAACACCTCAAATTAAACTGTCATGAATCCCAGTCATTGAACATTTTTTTCTTTTTCTGCATAATTACAGTGCCCATTGTGTCTTTGATGAATGGGATGTGAACGAGTATAAAACATTTACTTGTGGTGTTGAATACTCAGAATACTAGTACCTCTCAAAAATTGTGGGCAAAACCTTTTTTTTTTAATCTTGCTATTTTCTGTTGAAATCAGTGCAACAGATTATTTTTAAATATCAACCTTCTGCATTTCGTTGAAAAGAGAGCCATTGTCAATATTCAAAAATTATGTACATGTATGGCACGTACAGCATTCAAATTGACTTGAACTGTCGGGTCAGAGGGCATTGCTGCATGCCAAATTGCACAGAAAACATCATGGCAGAAATTCCTTTGCATCAAGAGTTTGCAAACAATCAAAACATTCAAAATAATAATGAATCTCTTGATTTTTACTGTTTACTCAGAAATGTTTACACAGAAATTCTGATGGTATCAAAATAGAGCAAAATGACAATTTTTGTTCATCATGTGGGGAAATAATTTTTTTGGGGGAAAATGAAATTGCAAAATAAATTATGTTGAATTTATTGACACTTTTACATTTAAAGAAACAGAAATCTTCACATAATATTCCAATTTTATTCCAGCACCCGTAAAAACAACATGATTTTGAGCTGAGTACCCTGGGCACTTGAATAGGAGCCAGAGGGAGAGTGAGATGAGTAGGATGTTTGTTTTGTACACATGCCACATTACTGTGTAAAGTATAGGGATATACAGACAAGGAATTGAATTGATTGCAGCACATGGTTTTAACAGCTGTTCTTTGGTTTCAGGCTCAAGACAATCCCCTGGGTAATGTCAGATTGAATTCTACAGTTGAGGTGCATGTTGCTGTATTAGATGCTAACGATAACTCGCCAACATTTGTAGACACACCATATGAAGGAACAATATCAGAAAATGATCCTATTGGAAAATCTGTGAGTATAGTAAACAGTTAATATTAATATTGTAATTATATATTTGTTATGTGGATCACTGACAGGTATTGTACATCAAGGATCGTGACAGTTTTGTGTTCATTATCTAGTGGTATATGCCTGACAAATAATACCAGCATTCAAGCAGAAACTGACATGTCTTGTTGTATTAAACACAACTCTGGTTTTAAGTACAATTGTAAAACTATATCTTGTATACCTTATAGATTGTGACGGTGGAGACTGAAGACCCTGACTTTGGAATGAATAATTTAACTTTGTACTCAATAACTAATGGACGACAAGATCTGTTCCGTGTAGAAGGTAATGTATTTAAGTTGTATTGTGTGGTGGATAAGTTTATATTCGCAAAACTAGGCGTTTGGGTGTTCTTTTTGTCACATAAAACGAACTGACTAAACATGCGGAATTGTTATTGAAATGGACATCGATTGCGTTGTGTTTTCTTGAGTTGAACAGACGTGAGGTATATTTCAAACTTGTTTATTTGTACTCAACATGAACATCAATACGTTGTACAGCAAATACTTCTTGGTATCAAATATAGATCGCTAAATAATAGCTTCATGAGGAGTTGACATCGTAGAGAGCATAGAAAGGAGGGTGTGCATAACGAGCATCAAGTTGCGAAGCTACCATAGGAGGAATTACAGCGATGGCCTGAATCGGACTTCTCACAACAGCGCTTTGCCTGGTTAATGTAATTATCAACGTTAGAGCGGCATTTGTCTTGGTGACAGCTAATCGAAGAAGTGCCAAACACGTGTTTATACTCTTAAATATATCATGCCAAAACGTTCCGAAAATAAAACAATGCTAATGATTGGCGCATACAAACGAAACATAACGCTGTCATTCCATATTAGGAGTGACACGCGACTAACACGAGGTAGAACTTTGGTGGGAATTTTGGGCGGACAGACAAGTACCGTGAGAACGCAATGTGAAACAATGTAGCGAATGTTTGGATATAGTGTCACGGTTGCTACAGAAACCGATCTAGTCTCTCAGGGCTCAACTCGTGGTTATCAAAACAATGTCTGGAATTACAAACTAACTTAACATCATAAAGAAAGTAACATTTTTTCATGTTAGATAACGCGCGACATTATTGTCAGCACATAGCGACGACGTCAAAAGATCGATGTCGGATAAAAAAATATAATTCCTTTAGTTTTTTTCAAACCCCCCACCCCCCACTGAAACTTAATTGATAAATATTGGTCATGGCGTCAGACTACATTCACCATTAAATACAAATTGATAATCAGACAGTAGTATGGCATACCAGTTGGTTGTCGGGTGGGTGTAAAAAGACTTTACAAATGCACCTCATTTGACGCACATATTTACACTCAAACCATTTTCTCGTCCTAGATGTTTGTTTTTTTCATTTTCTGTTATTTCTGTCTATGATTGGATAAAAGAAAAGCGAACTACAAATACTCCAAGATTTGTTTGACTTCATTAAAAAATAAAATCGTTTTTGAGGTCAAAACCGACATCGATCTTTTGACGTCGTCCCTTACTTAGTTGAAAATTCTTTCAATTTTAAATAACTTGGGCATAATAAAATTTTAAAGTTGATGTTTTCATGAGTTATACTTTGAAAAACCCCTTCAAAATATGTAGAAAAAAACAAGTTGTGCACTTTGCCTAAGCTTAGAAAAAAAAATGGACAGAAAGATCAAATAAAGAAAGAACTAATTTTGTGTTTTATTTTTACCTGCCGCCTGCCTCTGATGTTTACAGGGATACAAAATATATTATCTTTTGCATTTTAAATATATTGGTCGTCAGAGTTAAGCATATGTATGCTAAACAAAAGTAAAGTAAAAACTGCCACTGGGGGCGCTATCTTTGATACACTCAATGTATTATTATTTTATTCTATATATTTAAGTCTCAGTAAATGCATGTTCCAACATTTTTTTGAACCAACGACCAAAAATTAATATAACTAATTTTGGCTTGGCTACAAACCATCCCAAAAAATTGAGGCTTTTGAAAAAATAAGCATGCTAAACAAAAGCAAAGTAAAAACTGCCACTGGGGGCGCTATCTTTGGTACACTCATTGTATTATTATGTGTTATTATATATTTAAGTCTCAGTAAATGCATGTTCCACATTTTTTGGAACCAAAGACTAAAAATTAATATAACTAATTTTGTCTTGGTTACAAACCATTCCAAAAAATTGAGGCTTTTGAAAAAAATACGATATTTTTATGAAATATGCTTCTGAAACAACAAAAAAAGAATAACTATAAAATTGTATATTCATATTTTGTCGAGAATTCCCCGGTATAGTGAAAATGGTTATGATGGACAAGCTTTCATACTGTACACCTAAAACAAACAAAAAAATTTACATTGAGAGCACTGACATTGGTGTACCACATTCATACAAGCAAAAGCAAAATAAAACTTCACCATTGAGGGCGCTGTCATTTTTACTTTCAGTGTCCTGTGTTTGCTATACCCGGGAAATGGTTTCAGCAATTTCAACCAATTTTATTTCTCTTATTTCACAGAATATTCTGGTGTAGTGAAAAACGTAATTGAGCTAACTGGTCATTCTGGACGCACTTACGTATTGAATGTTGAAGCTTACAATGAAGATGATCCAAGCTTGTCTAACATGACAAGTGTGACGATCGTTGTCACTGATCCTATTCCTGATGAGGAAAAACTCTTATTTGAGCAGGACATCTATCGCGAGACAATCAGTTACGTGCACAGCGTTGATGATGTAGTAATAACAGTTACCGCTACCTATGGTGGTGAGGAGTCTGAGCACACAGTATATGAAATCACCGAGCAGAACTATTTAAGTGAGTTACATGTCAACTTGTAATTGTTTTGCTATTGCAGTCAAAAGATACAAGAGGAGGAAATACATTTATATTCAGTAAAAGTAATTTATTCACTTCTATATACATGTAGTATAAATCTATTACAGGGTAATTTGGAATAAAATAAACTCACTCCCAAACATTTTTAGCAACAATTTGATCAAACTATAGGCACAAGAAAAATTTAGCTGAAATTTTGGCAGAAAAAAAAAATTTCAGCCATGAGTTGCAAAATTGATGTTTGCTGCCAAATTAATATAACTCAATAAAAATTAAATGGACACTTAAATAAAATAATTACTGTAAAATCTGTATTAGAAGCTGCGGCTTCTATTAAAATGGTACAATGCAACCAAGGGAATGCGGCTTCTATTAGAGCATCTACACAAATGAGAAATGATGATTTTTTGGTTCTCAATTATTCAAAAAGAATGGGTGCAACTTTTATTAGGGATGCGGCTTCTAATACAGATTTTACGGTAGACACTGTTTACAATGTCAGAGAAAAATCAGACAATTTTAAACAAATTTACTTCATACTTTATTTTAACCATATTCACCATTTTATGATCACTATGTGCTGTAATAAAAATAATTTTCCAATTAAGTTTCTAATTTTATAATAATAAATCCTAGTAAATATATTGTCTGCAAAGTAAGTATATTTTTAATAATCCTTTGTAATATCAAAGTAGTTTTCAGTAGCTTCCCAATAGTTTTGTTGATAATTCTATTAATACAGTCAATTACATAATTGATGTGGCTAACATTGTGGTGCAACATTTATGTATATAAAACAAAATTGAAATTTCTAAAAAAAATTTTAATTAAACACACATAATCTCTAATTGCCTGCAAGTCTTGATTATATTTTTTTGAATTAAAATGTAAAAAGTGATGCAGGCTTATTTTGTGACAAATGTTAATTTTGTGATTATAAGAATTAATTATGATATTGTGTTTTTATGCAAATAATTACTCATTAGAATCTAAAAATGACACACCAGTGGTAGTAACGGAGGATGTATTTGTCATCAATGCAACTACTGGTGACATCACTTTAAAAGATCCACTAGACGAGTCAGAGGTTGGACAGTATACATTAAGTGTCAAAGCAACTGATGAATCAGTAGATGATATGTTTGATACAGCAGAGGTATGTGAATCTGACATTGTGTAAATATGTCGTTTTCTAGTATGTATAAAAGATGTGCACCTTAAATTGCTTTTTCAACTTTTTGGGTATGTATTAATTAATCCATACTGCGATACTGCATTTTTTTAATTTTTGATCGATGTACTACTGAGCTAAAATTATCTTTATTTTTGTGGTACGTACCAAATGAACACACATGAGTTGAAATTTAAAATGTTTATGCTATGCACATGT